CATTTAGCAATTTCTACATGTCAAACCTCGAAAATAAGATATTTACACATTTTAAAAAAACCATCCATCTACCTAAGATATGTTGATGATATTCTTATGTTAGTTAAAAATACAGATGAAATACTTCAACTTCAAAAACGTTTCCAAAATCTGTCCTTAAATTCACATATGAACTCAATACTAATAATAAAATCCCCTTCCTTGACATATTGATAAACACAAATAATAACAAATTTACGCCATACAAAAAACTTACCAGTATAAATTCATGTACACTAAACTATAAGAGCGAATGCCCATATTGCTACAAAATAGCAATTATAAAAAATCTAATACATCGTGCAGAAACTAATTCATCCACAAAACAGAGTTTTTTTACGGTGAACTAAAGAATATAAAACAAACACTCATTAATAATAGGTTTCCAAACTATATAGTTGATGAAAAAATAAGATGCTTTCTTAGAAATCTCAATACTAAGCAAATAGAACATAATACTGCTTCTACTAATCTCAAATATATTAATCTCCTATATCGTAAGCAAATGCATACTAATTATAAACAAGATGAAAATATACTAAAAAAATTAGTAAATACTAATATATCTACAACAGATCCTAGCAAAAAGATTAAGTTAATCATATACTACACTAAATTTAGTACATACAACTCAATTATTTGCAATGATTCTTCTCCCCCGGTTAGCGATTTGCAAAAAAAACAACATAGTTTACAAATTTAAGTGCCCTTTGGGAGATTGTATCTCCAACGAGATAAATAATATTTATGTTGGTCACACCACAAACTCGCTTTCACCACGCTTGTCACTACATTTGAATGAAAACTCTAACATTTTTAGGCATTTAAAACAACATGCCTGGCCGCATACACAATTCCGGAAAATCCTTGTTGAAAACACAATTATACTTAAACATGAAAACAATAAACAAAAACTAAAGATTTGTGAAGCTAAATACATAAAACAGTTGAAACCTAAGCTGAACAAAATAAACTATGAAATCTCCACAAATATACTTAAATGCCCATAATTGGTAACATAAGCCATTGGTTTATGCCAACGGCTTCCCATACTTAATACTTTCCGTTTTCATTCTCGCGTGGCCATGTGTGACGTCATGAGCTGTGGTGCGATTTTCGCTTCCAGCGTCTTATATGCACAAGTTTGTCGTTGCTTGGAAATCTTCCATGTAAACAGAAAGAGACTATCTGTTTTGTACGTGTACTGTTTAATATATTGTAATGTAATTGTCATCTTTGATAATGGCTTATGTAAGACGAAAGCTTAGATAGGATTAAAAAATATGTATCAATATTGTGATTCTCTCTGTTCGTTTAATGATAATGTTATTAAGCTTATCAGACGATATGAAAAGAATTTACATAAAATAAACCGACAACACTTGTCTATATTATTTAATGAAACATGCATCAATATATATATATATATATATATATATATATATATATATATATATATATATATATATATATATAATATAATATAATATAATATAAAAGGCTCAGACACTAATATTCCATGGTTATAATTTATAATCACGATCCAATTCATCAGACCCTCAAATTCATATATATATATATATACATATAAATATAGATAACTAGACTCGTTTTGAAAAACCCTCGAATTTTTTGATTTGTTAATCAAATCAATTTCGAGGAAAAAAAAGGTTTAAAAAGAAAGAGCTACAAACATGAACTTTGCCGACAAAAATCGCACAGATGCAGGTCTGAAGCCCAAAGAAAAAACCCCGATACGAGTAACAACTAACTAACAAAAGAGCTCAATACAATCGTAGAGCAGACCTAGATACACCTAGTGAGCCAGACAAACCTACCTAGGTTTCACCTAAACGGATCGTCAGGGAAAGTTTGGCTAACGAGGCAAAGAGAAACACATATTTATAGGTGATAGCTAAAATCATACCACGTGACAAAAACAAAAAAAAACCTAAGTGGGGGGGGGATAAATATTTATTCAACAAAAAAAAAATCCTCAGTGGAAAGTCAATAACGGGAAAACGTCTAATTTAGTAGCCATGATTTTTTATGTCTACATACATTGAGAATTTCAGTTTTAGAGTTCAATAGCTGGTTAGGTCGATCATATAAAGCTATGGCTAATTTCTCCTCAGCATATAATTTGCAAAATTTATGGCCTGCTTTATATTTTGGGCATTTTTTTAATATTTCCCATTTAAGGATGGGGTCTATATTATCTTCTTGTTTGGTTTTCCATACGTAGGTAGATAGCGTGGTATATAGACTTTAATAACCATGGGTTGTACCGCGATGACGGTTTAATCATAGTGGACAATAGTAACCCTAAAAAATGTGACAACATTCGTAAAAAACTGCACTGGTTTTTTAAAAAATTCGGATTTTATCTCGATATAGAAACCAATTTGAAAATTACCAACTATCTACATATTACGTTGAATTTACAAAATGGCACAATATCCCCGTATAAAAAAGAAAATCAAGAACCCCAGTATTTACACATAAAATCAAATCACCCAGCCCATATTATAAGGCATATTTCTAAAATATTGGGTATAGACTTTCTACTAATTCCTCCAATAGGGACATTTTTGAGGCCAACAAAATAAGTTATGAGCAAGCCCTAATTAAGAGTGGACATAAAATAAATTAGAATATATAGACAACCACAACATTACTCGGAATAAACATAATAGGCAAAGAAAAATTTTGTGGTTTAATCCCCCTTTCAATTTAGCGGTAAAAACTAAAATTGGTAAGATATTTTTTAATTTATTGGAGCAACATTTCCCAAAAAAACTGAGTTACATAAAATATTTAACAAAAAAACAATGTAAAACTTAGTTATTGTTGTATGCCGAACGTAGGGACTATTATAAATGGATTGAATAAAAAAAAACTAGGAATGATCCACGTAGTAATCCTCCTACTTGTAATTGTAGAAACAAAAAACATCTGTCCATTACAGGAAAATGCTAGCAGGAATGCGTGGTGTATCAAGTGAAAATTTACAAAAAATAGTGAGGATACTAACCCTAAAACATACATAGGTGCTACTCAGGATAAATTTAAAAAAAGATATTATAACCACACGAGTAGTTTTAAGAATGCAAAAATTAAACATAGTACAACGCTATCTACCTACGTATGGAAAACCAAACAAGAAGATAATATAGACCCCATCCTTAAATGGGAAATATTAAAAAAATGCCCAAAATATAAAGCAGGCCATAAATTTTGCAAATTATGTGCTGAGGAGAAATTAGCCATAGCTTTATATGATCGACCTAACCAGCTATTGAACTCTAAAACTGAAATTCTCAATGTATGTAGACATAAAAAATCATGGCTACTAAATTAGACGTTTTCCCGTTATTGATTTTCCACTGAGATTTTTTTTTTTTTTTTTTTTTTTTTGTTGAATAAATATTTACCCCCTCCCCCACTTAGGTTGTTTTTGTTTTTGTTTTTTTTTTGTCACGTGGTATGATTTTAGCTATCACCTATAAATATGTGTTTCTCTTTTGCCTCGTTAGCCAAGCTTTCCCTGACGACCCGTTTAGGTGAAACCTAGGTAGGTTTGTCTGGCTCACTAGGTGTATCTATCTATCTATCTATCTATCTATCTATCTATATATATATATATATATATATATATATATATATATATATATATAATTGGTGTCTACGGAATGAATTCCAATAACCAACAATTACTATTCTTAAAAAGTGTTCAATTCAAAGTAGAGCAGATATAATTATTATTTATAAAAAAAATTATAACATAAATATGTTATAAAATCAATGATTTTATAACATATATAAATTTTTTTTATAAATAATAATATATATATATATATATATATATATATATATATATATATATATATATATATATATATATATAAAAGAGCTTACACCATTTTAAAAATAAAGTTGGTTAATGATTATTCAGCAATTTAAATATTTTCTGTAAGTTTACATTTCAAATAAATGATATATTCCATCATAAAAGAACACTTCCAGTTTTGAGGTGAGAAATTATTCGAATACGTATTTGGAACCTCTGGCCAGACAAGGTTTTGTTACATAGACCGAAACAAGGTAACACATACGGAAACTAAACTCTGTGCACAAGAACTTACTATCCTACCTCCGTGTTATTTAATGTGTTGCATTTTTCAAACTAGAACGAATGCTTCCATACAGTTAAATCGCCGATTAAACTTCCCAGTCATATGGAAATATCTTTCCTGTTCTAATACACACAATTCAAACAAACCAGTTATTTATTGTTGGTTGATGTAGTAAAAGTCAAGTAGTAAGTTCCAGCAATTCATATATATAACAAATGCCAATGTCAGTGTGTCACTGTGTCACACCTTTTCAACTTTACTCTTAGAGGCTGTAGACCAACATATGATACCATTTTGGAATCAGGCCGTCTCCGTTAGAAAAATTAAAAACATTCCGGGCTGGGTCCGGACCAGCAATCCTGAAATTTTGGATTCTCAAGTTTTCATTACAGCGATTTTTTTGTACGATAACAATTATTATAACTTGGAAATAAATTTGGGAATAATCAAAATTAATTGCGAAATCCAGTGAAAGTCAGCCATGAAATAAAGATAATTGTTTGTACGGAAAGTGAAGACCTACGTACATCAAACTGTCTTTAAATTAAGTGGCGACAGAAGAATTATCGTTGAACTTTTAAAAGGTAAGCTTAAATATTAATGGAATACTTAAATGCAGAGATCAATTTTGAGTTTTCTAGTTTTACCTATAGCATCTACTCCTCTCTTCCTATTGCGACAAAGGCCCAATCAAGATCCCTCCGCTGTAGCTGCCTTAAATGCCGACCGATAGGGCTGCTTTTTAAGCTAGTAATAAATAATTTGCTTTGAAGCATATGTAACATAAGGAACTTCATCCTCAGGTCGATTTCGTTTTTAACTGTGATGCTGAAGGTATTTCGACATCTTGTCACAATTTTCTTTGATGTGGATTCGTGTAATAAAATAAAAAGGATTCATTTTTTTTTTCTATCCAGAAAGAAGAAAAGAATAACTTCAGCCATATTAGTTTCCGTCAGTTAAATTTTATGCAAAAGCCATTTACCTGGAAATCTCATTTTGGGATAACTTCTTTATGACGCACTATATAGTTAATTAATCCCACAAGCACTAAAAAAGGTAAGCAAACATAAAAAATTTCGAAATATAGGTACGGTGGCCATCACACACACATACACACACACTCGCGCGCACACATATATGTGTACACACACACACACACACACACACACACACACATATATATATATATATATATATATATATATATACAAGTGAAAATTGAAGTCAGCCCTCAGAGGCGACAGGCCTCTGAGTGTTGCTTTCAATGTTGACTTCACTTTTATATTTATATTTACACATGCTCTATCTCTGATATTAAGTACTTTATCCCATAAATATAGCACACCTTAAAACTATATTTCTTCATATATATATATATATATATATATATATATATATATATATATATATATATATATACTAGTGTAACACCAAAATTATCTAATTGTTAGATTAAGCTCTGAACCGTTGTATTTTAGAAATGATTAAAGATGTCTTACTGGAATTCTCCGAGGTCTTTATAACACTACTGGACTTTACTTTGAGCAATAAGAATGTATAATTACTTTCCAAGCTTTACAGAAGAATCGTGATGAAATAGAACCTAAACGAAAATGACATTTGTTAAACATAGCTAAGGATCGGAAGCTCATGAAAGATTGAAATAATATTCAAATATATATATATATTATTCCAAGATAATTTTCAAGATGAACTAAGATAATATTTCAAAATGAACTTCGCCTCTCTAATCTTCTTTCTCTTCTGGAGTAAAAACGTTGCCTCACACGTTTCACGTACGATTTCATTTTCATGGCTTTTTGCACTGTCATAGCTGAAACTCCTCTCTCACATGTCAAACGTCTTATGGATTGAATTAGATCTTTTCTAACCTCTAAATTGAAATGATGACGCCTCTTCCTGCTGTGACTCCCTGATCCAGGTTTCTTCTCTACTGTTCCCTCTTATTTAAATTTATTCACTGTTCTCTTGATGGTTCTTGAATGGACTTTGAAGATGGAATCCAGAGTATGAATGTTGGTACCATTACTGAAGGCCTGAATGATCTTTTTCCTCTCACTATTGCTCGATTGAGAAGACAGTGGTGCTGACAAAAAAACGATTTAACTTTGTTTTTTTTTTCCTAACTGAATAACTCAAGTTACACACACACTCACACACGCCCGCGCACACATATATGTGTGTACACACACACACACACACAGAGAGAGAGAGAGAGAGAGAGAGAGAGAGAGAGAGAGAGGACCCCCAGACGAGGCTATGTCGAAAGGCAGAGTCTAGTCTCGGGAAACAGCTACCCGACCCCGTTTTATACGGGATCTACGGGGATTTGGATTACCCCCCATTAAATTTGGCCTTGTGCCACACCTGACCGCGTGGGGCGGTTTGTAGATATCCTACAGTTGGAGATTCATTGTGGAATACATTTAACTCACTTCAAGCGGTTGACTACTACTTCTACGCGCCGCTGGCAAATCTTATATGTGTTGTTCTTGTCCTAAGTATTACCGTTAATTACTAACCTTCGTGTGGTTATTCTGTTCAGTAACCTTCCCTAGGTTACAACAATTATTTATCAATGATTATATATACTTTTTTATGATTTAGTGTTAAAGAATAAAAACTAATGATAAAATAAATATATAATTAAAAAATGAGCCCCCCACACACACACAAAATGTGTGGCCCTCGAAGGTGTGCGGCCTTCGAAGTTGCGTGACTATAAGTTATAGCTTATTTAGCTTATAGGTAAGTCCAGTACTGCGTAAAATACAAACCAGCTCTCAACAACACATATCCTATCATAGTCATCAATTAACTAAAATATTAAACAACGGAATAAACCATTAACATCAAGTTAATAATAATCGACTGTTTCGATTATGAAAATGACACCTCCAAGTTTCAAAATAGTTTGTTATAGCCATTAATACAGGCATATTTCATTGAAGAGAGAGAGAGAAAAATGAAAGAAAAAGAAATTAAGAAAAATATATATTTATTATGAATGGCAATAAATGAATAAATAAATAAGTGAAAAATAAAAAAAAAATGATCGGTTTTCATTCTTCCCTCTTTTGAGCTCGATCGAGGAAATAAAACAAATGTGTATGGCGACTAAAAGTTTGTTTTATTTTCTCGGTCGAACTTTGATGGGAGAGGAACAAAAACCGGTCAGTTTTTTTTTAATTTTATTATTTATTTATATTTTTGATTTGCTGTTCATAGTAACCCTACCTTTTCTTTCTTTCGTTCGTATTTTTTCTTTCTTTATTTTCTTAGTTTCTTTCTTTCTTTCTTT